TTTTTTTTTTTTTTTTTTTTTTTTTTTTTTTTTTTTTTTTTTTGGATAAATTTTAATAAATGTTAAAAGGAGTCAAAAAAAGGTATAAGCTCCTACCCACTCCCACAAAAAGTGATGTTATTTTAAGCAATGTTCATACTATAATGAATGAGTTGATGGCATAAGTTGGCACTATAAAAGACTCGCTAGTGTGGCTTTGGAGATATATTCATAGCACAAAGCTATAGACATGGAAACGATTAATGTTTGTATAATTATTGGATTTCTTTTAGGGGTTTACATGTTTGTGAGGAAACTCAATGAAATATGGTATTTGGTTAAGTTGGGAAGAAAGGCTTACAAATCTCTTCCTCCTGGTGATATGGGATGGCCTCTTCTTGGCTCCTCCTTCTCCTTTTACAAAGCATTTATAGTCGGAGGTGATCCCGACTCTTTCATTTATCACCTTCTTTCCAGGTATGTTTCTTCATCTCTCTTTTTCAGGTCATATGTATTGTTATTAGGTGCATATCATGAAAGACTTCTCAAAACTAATTTAAATAGAAGTATTTAAAAACTGACATGTTTTTGAAAACACCATAGATTTAAGTTTAGAATGCTAGAAAAAATTAGGATCTTATTGTCAAATAACCTAAAATCTAAAAATAAAAGTAAAAAGCTCGACCATGACTAACTATTTAATGATAGCTACAACAAGCACCATTTGCCACCAAAAACGTCTTTGCCCTTACCCAAAAAAGTTCAGGTTTGGAAAAGATTGGTGGGTCCAAAAATTTAAATATTTAAGTATATGATATATGATTATGACTATCTAACTTATGGACCTAAAAATTTGATATTGGGCTCCACTTATTATTTGGATAAAAAGTATATGTGTCGTATCTTCATGCTCTCGAGGCATGACGCAGCCGAAATGATCAAAAGAAAATAAATTATTTCTTAAGTGGTATGTCAATTATCTAAAAAGTGTTCATAAATAATAATTTAATGAGACTTTTTTTTTAATTAATTACAAACACCACACATTAAGAATTTTTAATATTTTGGAACAAATCGAGGATTATTGTAATAGTTAAAATCGACCGTTAGTAGATATTGTCTGTATTTATCTGTTAGGTAGGGAGAGGTGTCCACAGCTAGTAGATGTTCTCTGTGTTTGCCAATTATTTAGGAAGAGGTTCCTACCGCTAGTAGATATTGTTTCTGTTTGCCCGTTATATAAGAAGAGGTGTCCACTGCGAGTAGATATTGTGTCTTTACCAGTTATGTAGGGAGAGATTTTCACACTCTTAATACTTTGTTGCTCTTTCCAACCGATATGAGATCTCACAATTCACCCTCCTTGGGGACTTAGCATCATTTCCCTCTCCAATCGATGTAGGATCTCACAATCTCTCACTTGGGGACCCAAGATCCTTCCTCTCTCTAACCTTTAGAAAGAATATTTCGTTCCTCCTACCAATATGTGATCTCACAATCCACCCTCCTTAGGGACCTAGTGTCATTCCCCTCTCCAATTGATGTACGATCTTACAACCCCTCCCTTGAGAACCCAACGTCCTTCCCCTCTTCAACCGATGTGGGATCTAACATTCTCTCCCTTGGGAGTCTAGCGTCCTCGTTGGCACACTGCCCCATATTTAGCTCTAATACCATTTGTAACAGTCCAAACCCACCATTAGTAGATATTATCCGCTCCGACCCATTATGTATCGCCTTTAGCTTCACAGTTTTTAAAACGCGTCTGCTAGGGAGAGGCTTCTACACACTTATAAAGAATGTTTCGTTCAATTCTCTAATTGATGTGGGATCTCCCAATTATAAATTATTATTGACCACGTGATATGTTTAGCTTCGAAAATTAGAAGGAAAAAACTTGGAAAACAATAATTTATGTTATCATCCTTTCCTCTAAAGTTGGGAAATTAAAATTGTGGGCATTCTTGCACAGGAATGGAAGAGTAGGGATGTATAAAAGTCACCTCTATGGAAGCCCAACCATCATCGTAACAGATCCAGAAATATGTCGACGTATATACTTAGATGATGAAATTTTCAAGCCAAATTATCCCAAATCAGTGAAGATATTAGAAGTAAATGGCCTTTTCTCAAGGATGGATCACAAATGTGCATATAGAATCATGGCAGCTCCCATAAATGGCTATAATGTATTATCTCATTATGTGGACTTCATTGATCAAATAATGGCAAAAGGCTTGGAGGAATGGAGCACCAAGAAAGAGCCCATTGAGTTGTTTGGTGAGATTGGAAGTCTCTTTTTTAGAGTAATTTCACGTATTTTCTTGGGGACTGACATTGGAGCATCTCGCATGGCTGAGCTTGAGACATTATATAAAGATTTGGGTCCTGCAATCTTGTCCATTCTTCCTTATGATTTGCCTGGACTCACTTTTCATCGCGCACTGAAGGTACCATTATTAGTGTTGTAAGTAGTTATGCATGTATTGGCAATATTTGGTTTGAAATTCTCATTTATTTGAATCACCTCTCATTTATTTGGTTCATAACTCTCATTTATTTGATTCTTTTAGTCAGTAACTTTCATTTATTTGAATCACCTCTCATTTATTTGGTTCATAACCGTCTTTGTTCACATCTTTCATTTATTTGGTTCATGATCCAGGTTAGTTGATCTTTCATTTTGTATAACATTAATGCTTCTATACCTATATAAAGGTTGTCTAGGAAGATTGAGATACATTGAGTTTTAGTGTCATTTTGTATTTGTTGAGTGACATTTAGGAAGAACTTTATTGGGAAACTTTGTGTGTGAGATATACATTTTGTAAACATTTTGATTATTAAGATTAGTTGCTACTCGTGGATTTAAGGAAATTTCTTTTTACTGAATCACGTAAATCTTTGTGTACGAAATTTCTTTTAACTGAATCACGTAAATCTTTGTGTCTTTTTGTTTAATTTTTGTTTGTGGGTATGCAAGTGTGATCGATCTTACTTCTGCTTCTGTCTTCGGTCCAACTATTACTTCATCTTGAACACTTTTTTTTTTTTTTGCATTATTTATACTTATGCTAATGGATGTGCTTGGAGGATATTAAATGTTATTTCGTATACAACAATTGGCAGGCAAGAAAAAAGATAGAAAATATTCTACAATGTGTGATAGAGGAGAAACGAAGAGCCCTAGAAAAGCAAGAAAGAGAGGTGGAGAGCCAGATGGACAAATTGATTATGGCAAGGGATGAGAATGGGATGAAATTATATGATAACAATGCCATTATAGACTTGCTTCTTGGATTGCTACATGGTGGCCATCATACCCCAGCTTATGCTGCTATGTGGGCTCTTGTGCACATCTCTGAGACACCTCATGTCTTCCACAAGGCCAAGGTTAGCTCTTTTTTTCAAAAACAACTTTTAATTCCTTTTTGTAATCGTTTTGAGCTACGTTTTACAGGAAGAGCAAGAGTCGATTCTAAAACAAAGATCATCCACTCAAAAGGGATTAACTTTTCAAGAAATCAAGCAAATGAAATATCTTATGAAGGTATGTTTTTTTTTTTTTTCCTTTAATTTTCTTAGAAAGCAAGAGAGTGAAAAAAAAAATGCTATAAGAATTTGTGTTGAAGAACATTTTTCGCTCTTGCAAGTTGTTTGAGACAAGAGTTGTGACTAGATTGTAGGAAAATGTTGAGGCTATGTGTTTGAATCTGAATTCTAAATCTAAGGCCTAGGAGTGTTACCTCCAACTTAAAAATTCTTCTACCAAGCAAAAAAAATTAGGTTAATGAACACAGTTTAACGAGAACTTAAAGTTACTCATCTCATTCCATGTAGTGCCTCATACCCAAAATTCGGAATCTTATTTTGATATCTATGTGCCTCGACATTCTCCTAAACCCCTTGCAACATGGTCACATTACTTCTCGATTCTAAGAGTAAAAGTTATCCCAACTGACTAACACAGGTCCTTTCATCATGTTTTCCTCTCACTCACATACATCTAATGAAAATTCACAAGAGATCACCCAACATATAATTATTCCAAATAAAACACGCTTAGCTTTGAATTTCATATGATTGAGCCACCCAAAATGAGAGTGCACCTTATTAGTATAAGTATTTACTTTTAATTCTTTTAAATTTTTCTTAGTCATTTTATTCTCGTTATCGCTCTCATTCTGTATCTTTCTTCCATCTATATTAGAAATAAAATAGAGAATATAAAGTTTAAGTTTGATTTATTTATCGTTTCAGTTTATTAACGAGCTATTGAGAAGAAATACCATCGCGGTTGCAAGTTTCCGCGAAGCAAAAACAGAAATAAACATCAATGGTGAGTTGTTCTATTATTGTGTGATCTATAATCACATGACATTCATAGTTTCTTTGTTGATCTTTTCATATTTGTTTTAGACTACACCATACCAAAAGGATGGACCGTACTGATTTGGACCAGAGCTATTCATATGGACCCTCAATTATATTCAAATCCAGAAGAGTTTGATCCTTCAAGATGGGAGGTATGATTTATGATCCCAATCAATTCATTAACATGTTTATCATAAAGATATTAATGTTGGTGGTGTTCATAAGCAGAATCATTCACCAAAGCCAGGAACATTCATCCCTTTTGGAATCGGAACTAGATTTTGTCCTGGAAGCGAGCTTACCAAGCTTGAGCTTACAATTTTACTTCATCACTTTATCCTCAATTACAAGTAAATTCCCATCCAAATCTATTTTTTTACTGTTTAATCAAGATAAAAATGCATAAGTGATGGAATTGTTTTGTTTGTGTTGTAGAATGGAACGTGTCAATCCAAAATGCTGCATCACTCACTTGCCTGCCCCCAAGCTCGTAGACAACTGCCTTTGCACAATTACCAAGCTCCCATGATCAGAGATGGTTGTAGTTTGGAAACAACAAAAAGTGATGTCTCCTTACGATAATGCACTCTGTCTAGGGATAAAGTTTAATGAATAATTTTATACATCTCTCTCATTTCACAATTAATTATACTGATATATATACCTATACCTAGTAAGCAACCTAAAATGAAAGATCAGAGACATTGATGAAAAAATGAGTATTCCAATTTATCGAAGAGGAATACTTATAAACTAATTCATGATCGCTCGACAAATTAGTTATTGTTAGTGAAAGAGAGAGTGATTGAATAGTTGATGAGAAGATTGTATTAAGAAGAGCAAGAATGCTCTCTATATATACACGGAGAATACAAAAAAATATTTAGAAAATCTACCTAAAAAATCAGCAGAAAATCTGGTAACAAACGAGTAAACAAATAAAAAATTAAATCAAATTAAAACTAAATCTAACTCCTAACGATTTAATCAGATACAACAATCTAAATAAATACGTGATCTTTAACCCTCCTCCTTGTTTAGATGCTGTGAACTCCAACTTTTTCCTGAACACCAATCTTACTCCAATTATCTTTCCGTTTAGAGGTCGATCAACCAACTCCCTGGTTTTGTTTTTCTCCATCACCGAAGGCTCCTCCTCTGACAGGTGCATCATCAACCAAAGCATCTTGTTGTTCATCTTTAGACTCTTTTAGTCGTTCATCTTCAGACTCTTCTAACATGCTACCAAAGATTAAATTGTTTGGTGCATTAGAAATTTGATTCACCTTCCATTAGTTCTTCCCAATTCTATTGTTCATTTCCAGCAAAATGAACATCTTGGCTCACAATAACACGACTTGTGTGTGGTTGAAAAACTCTATAAGCTTTGGATATAGTGCTATACCCAACAAAGATGCCAGCTTCTGCCTTTTTGTCAAGTTTATCACGCTTGACCTGTGGAATGTAAGTGAAGCAAAGACACCCAAATACTCTAAGGAACTTTAAAGAAGGTTTGTAACCATACCGAACTTCAAATGGTGTCAGGTCCTTCATAGATTTTGTTGAAATTCGATTTTGCAAGCACACAACAATGTTTGATGCTTTTCCCCAAAAACATTTTGGAAGATCCTTCTCATGAAGCATGCATCTCGTCATCTTCATAATGATGCTGTCAATTGATGCTGTCAATTCTAGCCTCTTCACAAAACCGGTTAAAAGTTTCTAAAGTGTACTCATTGCCATTATCTGATCTTATAGTCTGAATCAAGCATGCACTTTCATTCTCAACTCTGGCTTTGAATTCCCGAAATACACCCGCAACTTCTGACTTTTGCTTCAGCAAGAAGATCCACATTCTTGTTAGATCATCAATAAAAACAGTATAATAAAGATTACCATGTAATGATGGTGTTCGCTGAGGACCACAAAGATCAGTATAAACCAGTTGCAGCTTTTTCGAGCCTCTCCATGCCTGCTTAGGAAAGGGTTGCATATGTTGCTTCCCAAAATTACAAGTACGGCAAGGAGGCATGTCCTCATCAATGTTAGTGAGTTCTTCTACCAGCTTCTTTGATTGCATTTGAAGCAAACCTCGATGATGAAAGTGTCCAAGTCTTTTGTGTCAAATCTCAGTGGCATTAACTCTGGATATAAAGGTTGTCGGATTTAGAGCAAAGCTTTTTCCTTCCATTTTGACATTGAACAAGTCTTTGCCACTAGCATCTTTGATCAAGCACTGCTTATTCTCAAACAACACTTTATAACCTTTATCAAGTAACTGACCATCGCTTAACAGATTTTGATCAATTTTAGGTACAAATAAAACATCTCGAATAAATTTTGTACCTTCATAGCTTGTTAGAGCTACTGTGCCTTTTTCCTTGACTTTCAAGTGTTCACCATTGTCAATCCTCACTCTCTTGACTTCAGTGTCTCTTCATTCCTCAAAAAAAAAAAAAAAAAAACTCCTTATCATATGTCATGTGATTTGTGCACCCACTGTCAATCAACCAACTCTCCCTTGATTCTTTGCCTGAGGAAGAAGTGACCATAAACAATTGATTTTCTTCTTCTTCCTGATCAACTACCTGTGCATCTACTTCTTTCCCCTCATCTTTGGCTTTGCAAATCACAGCTTCATGTCCAAGTTGATTGCATTTAGAGCAGAAGGCATCAGGTCTTCTCCAACACTTGTATGATGGATGAACTTTCTTCTCACAATGGCGGCAAGGTGGATAGGATTTTTTGAAACCTCCTCCTTTTGTCTTCTGATAATTGGCAGATGAATCTCCATACGTCAATTGATTTTTGAAATTTTTGTTGTTTTTATACCTGTTGCTATCTTGATGATGCTTAACAAGTAAGGCACCTTCAATCACCCCTTCTTGCCTCATAGACCTCCTTTGCTCTTGTGCTTGTAAAGCATTCAAGAGTTCTGTAAGAGAAATCTTTGACAAGTCTTTGGTGTTCTCCATAGTAGTAATGGTGGCTTCAAACTTCTATCTTTGACAGGTCTTTGGTGTTCTCCAGAGTAGTAATGGTGGCTTCAAACTTCTCTAGAACAGTGACCAGCAGCTTTTCAACAATCCTGGAATCATTTAATATAGAACCAAGCAATCTCACCTTGTTGGTGATGCTGAGAAGTCTGCCAGAGTACTCTTTCACCGACTCTGACTCCTTTATCTTCTGCAACTCGAAATTCCTAATCAAATTCAGGACTTTCATTCCACGAATCCTCTCATCTTCTTTATATTCAGCCTTGAGATAATCCTAAATTTCCTTTGCATCATCTCCTTTATATTCAGCCTTGAGATAATCCCAGATTTCCTTTGCTGTTTTGAGGGACATTATTCGCATGAAGATCATTTGAGATACAGCGGCAAATAGGCAAGCTTTTGCCTCTGATTTCCTTGTCTTCCTTACCTTCTGTAATTTGATTTTTGCTGCAGTAGGATTTGCTGGAAGTGGAGGGACCTCGTAATCCTCTTCTATTGCTTCCCAAAGATCCAGGGCCTCCAAATAAGTCTCCATATGAACTGCCCACATTTGATAATTGTCTCCATCGAAGACTGGTGATGCAACAGCTGAAAAACTGGATTCTCCTCCCATTTTGATCTCACAGATCCCTTAAGAAGATAGCTCTGATACCAATTGTTAGTGAAAGAGAGAGTGATTGAATAGTTGATGAGAAGATTGTATTACGAAGAGCAAGAATGCTCTCTATATACAAAAAGATATTTAGAAAATCTACCTAAAAAAATCTGTAGAAAATCCGGTAACAAACTAGTAAACAAATCAAAAACTAAATCAAATCAAAACTAAATCAAATCAAAATTAAATTAAATTAAAACTAAATCTAACTCCTAACAATTTAATCAGATACAACAATCTATACAAGTACGTAATTTTTTAACAGTTATAAAATAAAAAGGATTGACTATTAGTGAAGGAAGGCAATTCATGGATGTGAAAGGATGCAACTCTCCTAGAGTTGCATACCATTTATTCCAACGAGATCCCCACATAAATGGTAAGAATTTAAATCAAGATAAGTAATAAAAATAGACTATGCAATGCAATATGAGTGTACGAAAAAACAATAGAAAAACTATCATAAAATTTCGTGTCATTTTAAACCATTAACTTTGGTAAATTATCACAAGTTTTTATTTAATTTAAGTTATTAATATAACCGTTGATTAAATAGGAATATTATTAATTTGGTTATTAATTTTGTAACCATTTTAATATTAATCCTTATTTAATTCTATAAATTTGATGCTTCAAACAATTGTTCCTATATAATAGATTTGTCTAGGAGGTTGATGATTTCAGAATTTGTATCGAAATTTGATTGAGTTTTGTGTGTCACATTGTATTCTTGAGTGACATTTTGGTGGGAGTCTTTGTAGTGTAAGAGTGAGGTATTCACGGTAACACTTTGATTATTAGTGATTGGTTGCTACCTGTGGATGTAGGAGAATTTCTTCTCTCCGAACCACGTAAATATCTTAGTATCTCTTTGTGTAATTCCGTTCATAGTGGTTGTGAGTACATTCGTTCCACTTTTGCTACAACAATCGGTATCATAGTTTTGTAGTTGTAGCATTTGGCGCACAACATCAACAACGGTTCCAAAATCAATGTAATAACATATACATATACAAATGCTCAGTTTATTCATAAAAGAGAGAACAAAATCGGGATACAAAAATTGTATACGATATGACAGACTACAAAAATATATGGGCAAGACAAACGCTCCAGTCGACACCCATTTGTAGCTACCGAGTACTCGAGCACCCCTTCACCTCGACCAACAACATCATACACTTGAAAAACGAAAATGTAGAAAGAGTTGAGTATATGAATATACCTAGTAAGCAACCTACTTCTAGGCTTCCATGCATCCTTAACCTAGCAAGTAACCATAAACTTTGGCTCCATATAAAGGATCTTGTTATTCACATACTTGAGTAGCTAGCTTAGCCTACGCAGTGTTATTCGGTACCTAAGGCTAAGGCTAATCTAATGCCAAAGGTTACCACAGAATCCCTTTCTTGGCTTATTGCAAGATATGATATCAGAAAAGGGTTAACTAGTTGTCCAGCCAAGCTACTAGCTTCATCAATGATAAAATTGTTAACTACCCTATGCTCTTTGTTCTTTCTCTTACTCCATAAATCTCAAGTTAAATCAGGTTAGAAATTTCAATCTAAATTCTTGTTCAATGCTACATTCACATTCTAGTCGTCGAATTATCTTTCACACAAAATTCGAAGTTTTGGGCCAAACTAACCTTGACAAACCTTGACAAAGATCATTTTATACATGTGTTTACATTGAGAACTCAATAATTGAGCAGACAATAAGCATTTTCATTTAAGTAAAAAAAAATTACATATTTTTTTCGTAATAAAATTAAAGGGAAAGAAATCATAGACACAAAACCTTCTCGGTTGCCCTCATTGTCGTTCAAATGGGAGAATGGGAGAAGAGAAGAAAGGAAATTAAAGGAATGAGAAGAGAAGAAAGAAAAATTAGAGAAGATGAACTTCGAAGAATGAGACCTATTATGAGACATACAATGCATTACAGACGTAGGATCATTACGGTTGATCCGAATTATTTTATTCCACTTTTTAGAAATTTACCATCTATTTATTTAAAATTTTTACCTCTTGAGCAGCTTTTTTTTGGAAAGTGGTATATTAAAAAGGTATAAAATGTCCTTTTTCTTGTAGTTTGTGTGAAAGTCGTTTTGTTTTCTTTTGGTGCATTAATGATTAACCTTGTGATAATGGATGTGACGGGAAGATATGACATGGCCGGCGGCTAATATTATTGGCAGACAAGAAAAAAGATAGAAAATATTCTACCACGCGTGATAGAGGTTAAAAAAAAAAAAAAAAAAAAAAAAAAAAAAAAAAAAAAA